TAAAACCAATTCTAAACCTTCTGTTGGCAACAAAACATTGTGTACTAATTGTACCAAAGTATTTCCCTATAAATTTTTATTTTTATAACAAGGAAATCAGAGATAAGATCTCAGACAGTTCTGGAAAATCTGCCTTCAAGTTTTGCATATATTTTATCAAATCAAAATAAGAACTGAAAACAATTTTTTTCATTCAGTCATTTTTATCAACAAATGTATTTCAAAAGCAGCAAATGGCCTCAAAATTTTTCTGCAACAAAGTTGATGTGCTCTTAAGTCACAGAATAAAATTACTTCATAGTACTTTCTCATGGAATATACAATTGAATAGCAACAACCCAAATGAGTATTTATTACACAGTTAATCAGAATTTACGTGTTTTATTGAGCTAGCTATACCAAATCTTCCTTAGGATTAGCAAGATGTAAAAAAAATAAACCACACCAGTTAAGCAAGCTGGAATGCCTGAAATATTGAGACAGCACAGCATGTTTCCTCTTTGTATTGGTGAGGATAACAAAAGAAAGCAAAAAAGTAGGTATTCAGAGATAGAAAAAAAATGTAATTGTGATCTTGCCCATCTCAGTTGGTCTAGGGGAGTCTGTTGTACAGGCAGAAATACAATCCACCACTTGAAATACTTGAAACACAGTACTAGGGTATGGTTCTGCATGGGAAGCCCATGGGTTGAGGAAAAAGAAGGTAAGGGTGGACTCGGTTCCCAACTAAATACAGTGTTAGTACTGTCTAAATGGTACAACTCAACCCCTACTGAATAAAGTGTATATACAAAATAAATTAATAAAATTTTGCAGGCATAGTCACTATTATATCATTATACAATAATTATTTGGAATATTTCCATCTATCAATAGTGCCATCTGTCCCACCCAATACAAATGGACTACAACCCATCTGGCTTATTTTTTGCTATTGATTACTTTGCTGAATGAGTTAGCAAAACCACTTATAAAATCATCATATTACATGACACTGTCATTAAAAGATGTGAAGTAAAGAAAAACACAAGATGAGACTTAATTGGAAAACTGTCAGTTTTTCTTCCAGAAACTTTAGCAATGCTATAAGTTTTTTTCTTCTTAAAAAAAAAAAACCCAAACCAAAATACCCAACAAAACACAAAACCAAATCAAAGCAAACCAAAAACCAAAAAACCCAAACCAAAACAAACAACTAAATGCTAACTACTGGTTTAGGCAGAAGTTGTTCTACCACTATGGTTACTACTTCTAACCAGGTATGCTAGAAAAGCTTCCTAAATGTATCTCTTCAAGAGCGTTAAAATATCCCAAAGGATGCCTGGCAAGCACAAAAACATTATGGAAGGGATGTAAATTAAAAATAGCATGGAGAGAAGCTGACAATGGCTGGCACTAGTATTTGTTAAGTCCAATAAGTCTTCCTAGGTTTTGGGTTTGATTATTCACTTCTACAACTGTCCTAATGACATTTTTTACAGCCTCTCTTTTCTTCTTTTGATTTTAACCATTGCTTCCCTTAACTATGTTTTGATTTCTCCAACAACAAAAATGCAGCATTACCCATCTACAGAATTAAATGCTTACTTCAGCTCCCTCACTCTAGATCTCAGAATACTTTTTTTGTCTTGACAAAGGAAATCTCTCTTGTGTACATTCAAAATGTTGCTCCAAAGATCTATTCTTTAGCCCAGTGATTTTGATGTTGTTTTGAGTGAAACCTCGGTGAGGCTGCTTTCTTATCTTTTCCTCCCCACTATTTTTTTCTACTACAACCTTACATCCCTGCACTAGATTTCTCTTTCCTCTGTCACCCTGAATGGCTTTTCGAATGACACTGAGACTCAAAGGGACATATGAATGAAGAAGAGAGAGAGACAGGGGGCTGGATTCCAGCTCTAAGGAGACAACTCTTGATAACTGTGGGTAACTGGAGCTCAGGGAAGCTCAGGGGGTTATACTGTAGGGGTGAGACTGCAGGAATTGTGCTGGGAGCACAAATACTGAGCTGCCATTAGGAGTAAGGGAAATCAGGATGACAGCAGTGGAAAGGAGTTGTGTAAGAAGTAAGGAATGATGCTAGAATAAGGAAGAGACCAGAGGCTGGGTGACTAAAACAAGTTAGAGTTGCTAGAGGGTCCAGATTATTTAGTTACTGTTTCCTCCCTCTCTTGCAATCCTCTCCCACCCTTGATCCTCACTAGAGCCACTTTTCTAGTTAATAATATATAATATGTTTCCTCTGGAAACAATATGAGTATTCTGAAGCGTACATTTATTTAATTTTAAAGAATATTTTAATTTATTTAAATATAATGTATCTCTCTCTTCATAACTCAAGAGGTTCCTAAAAGACAATTGGCCCCGTCAATATGACAAGAAGTCTTCCAAAGTTCAGCTAAGAGTGTCTACCCTGTGGCCTTATCTCAAATGAATCACAGGATCATAGAATCAACTGGGTTGGAAAAGACCTCTGAGGTCATCAAGTCCAACCCTTGATCCAACACTGCCGTGGTTACTAGACCTTGGCACTCAGTGCCACATCTAGCCTCATCTTAAAATCCTCCAGGGATGGTGAATCCACCAGTTCCCTGGGCAACCCACTTCAGTGTCTGATCACTCTCTCTGTAAAAAACTGAGCCGTGAGTTGAACTGTTGTATTTGCATAAACAAACTCCTTTCTTCATGGGTCACAGAAGCGCAACAATTTCAACTGAGACACCATTTGTTCTAAGTAATCTGTGGATTGCTACTGGTTCAGGCCTTTCGCCACTGCTTGAAATACACTTCAAGAATAATAAAATAAATAAATAAAAAATAATAAAATACTTTTGTTTTGGCTGACTTAGTTTACTTGAAGAAAACGGACCATTATTTCACGTCATGGTATCCAACAGAACTGTGTGTAGCAGCACCAGGATACCAAAACATAAACAAAACCACAAGGGTAAGGGATATGACTTAAGACACACAGAAAGGCAGTACCTTACAGAATCTGGAAGGCTGCTCCAAAGTAAAAACTACATTACCTATTCTCATTGATTCTAGGGAATCAGTGAGATTCTAGGGAATTCTAGGGAATCAGTGAGCCAGAAGTACAGCTGTTGTACAATTTATCATTTTCCAATAGAAAACCTCTATTTCTGTCAACAGGACAACTGTATTTTCAGAACAGGATAATTTCTCTCTCTGGTTCCTTGGAACAGAAGTGTTTGGTAAGTATTTTTCTCTGCTTTACTGTGTACACAAACCCTTACTAATTAGAAAACATGTGTATCCTGAGGAAAAATTCAATTCCTAGGTCTGAACATAATAACATTAGCAAAATTATAGAGAAACTGGAACATCCAGCTGCTAATAACATCTCATTCCCCTTTGTATTTAGTTTTTTCCAAAGCATTTTTTGATTGTGTTGTGACACACATTACTCTATCTGCTAATATTTTTTTTCTCTTTCTGATACTGTCAATAATGAGTTATGATCTGATAAGCACAGCATAGATGATGTTCAAGACCAAAGATCCTCCTGTATTGCCTGATACCCAATTGCAGGATGTTTTTCTTAAAGATTTTTGAAAACAGTCAGGCAGCTATCTCTTCACAGGAGTACGTGTAAGCAACAATCCATTTTTTAAGCTATGGCTTCAACAATCAAAAAGTTACATGGAATAGATACTAATAATAGTACAAAAGTAAACAATCTCATCAGTATTTTTCATGTAGTTAAAAGAAAAGAAAAAAGAAGTACTGCCTAGTCATCTCAGTAAGTGGAAGAGAAAAAAGACTTGATAAAGAGTAGTTGGTAAGTATAACAGCTATGGAGGACCTAACAGCTTCTATCTGGGAAAAGGAATAGTTTCAAAGGACTGGCAAACACCACCAATCTATCCTTCAGTCATATATATTATGAATCATAAAGCAGGCAGGCTTCATGGTCATGGTAAATGTTACTAACCAGTCACAGTGCAAGAAACAGAACTGAATATAAAAAACTGAATTGAATTCAGATTCAATACTGAATCTGAATTCAGTACTGAATCTGAATCTGGTCTTGGAGGAATAATAAACTCTATTTAAGAGAGTCCTTTATTAGTAAATCAAGTTGGAATGTGTAAGCATCTAAGCAAAGTCTACATCTTTACTCAGAAAGACAAGTGCCTAGTGCAGAGAATGAAAGTAAAGGCAAATAGAAGGAAAATTTCAGGTGCCTTTTTCCTTCTCCTATGACAATATTAACATATGCTATGCTTCTAAGCCATGTGTTTCCCTGAGAAAACATAATAATTAGGTTACATGAAATTATACAGCAATTATGCAGGTACTGTTCTCATTTTTATGCATTTGTGGAGAAGTTACATATTTTTTTTTACAAGATTTGTGGCCACTACCTTCTAATACTGACAGGGAGTTCCATGGCTATTTAAGAAAATGGCACAAAAATAATAGAAATTATTATGGCATCGTTATAAATGGTTGTGAAAATTATTAAATTGTTAAACTAGGGTTAACCAACAGAGAAGCATGTCCTGATCTGGTCTTAAAAAGTACAACTGAATATAAAGCAATAATGAGCAGCAAATTGCTAAACTCAGTTGTCATGACAATAGTGCTTATAAGAAAGAGTGGGGAAAAAAACTCAAAGAAGCTGAAGTAAAATGGTCAGTTCTTATTATGCAAAAATATATGAGTAGAAGTAATTCAAATGAGGTATTGTTCACATTTTTGTTAGAGAAATCGACTGTTCTTTAAGAGTCCTTTAACACAGTGCTTTGGGGAATTAAGACAAAGTTAGTGGTGAATATAACTTTCTATTAAGCAATTTTCTTTCCCAATTGTGCACAGCCACTTATAAGCCAGAACATAACAGCTCAATCAAACCATATTGTATCAGCTTTACTTGAACCTCTCTGAAATGTACTGAGAAAATTCTGATATTACTACAAGACTCCAAGGGAAAAAAAAGACAACCCAGAAAGAAGAAAAATGGATATCACAGCTACCTTTTTACATTCTCTTAATTTCTTCTGCCATAGAGAGTGAGCAATAGGAATGTGCTTGCTGTGAGTTACATAGCAGCTGGCTGTGATGACGTGATGGAGTGCAGTCTTCTGGCTCATAGCTTGAAGAACTCGCTCAACATGACGGAGGGAAACTACAGCCTCTGTCCGTATGCCACCGCTAACAAGCTGCATCGTACAAGGTACCAGAGCAATCTGTCCAGCACAGTAGAGAACATCTCCAACCTACAAGAGAATAAAAACACGTAAATAAGATTCTTAGAGTTTTTAGAAGACAAGGGAAGCACCTTTCTATTTTCAAGGTAATTTCTTTCAATAGTGCTGTTCTTTGCCATCACTTGTCACAAATGGAACAAACGTCACAAATGGAACAAATGGATTTAACTACGATATAGAAACACAGCACTGCAATAAACTGCAACCTAACAGTTAATACATGGACATATGTGTCAGCTCAAAGCAATAACATCTGATGTTATGGACTTTTACAGCTGCTGGATCACACTGATGCCCCAGCATAGTTAAATAGGTTCTTGCTTTCTTTTTTTGAGTCATGATGCATACTATCTTTGGTTCAATGCTATTCTCTTAAACTTCTATGTCATAAGCTTTGTTTTATGTAAAACTGTACAAGAAAGTATCAGTACACATCTGTAACACCTTTAGTAAACTAATTTAAAAATATTATAAAAATATACTTGCAGAACACCTAAAAGACTGAATGAAAAAAAAGTGATGATATTCCACCAGAAGGTAAAAGGAAATTTCATATTGAAAATAAAAGTAGAAGAATACTACTTGAACAAAGAGATGGGTCACCTTTTGAAAATGGAATTAAATGGGTGGCCAGATATACCATCAATATATATTTTAAGTTGAGCTGCAATGCAGTTACTTTGGGCTGATTTTCCAAAATCTTCCCAGCAACACTCTGAAGACCTACTTTTTAAACAGAGCCAGAAAAGGAAACATTTATTCTTACTATTCAGACATCTCAGAGATTTATTATAAAATCTTAATGTAAATATCAAACTTTTCATCGTCTTATGCTGCAGTTCTTTAGGAAGTCTGTGCATCTCCTAATCAGTGAAACAGTAAATTTTATTCGCTATCAAAAGAAAACTAAGTATAGAAGTGGGAAGTAAGGTAGGCGTAAGCAGCTTTGAAGTCAGCACAGTAAGAATTTTGCTAGGAGTAAAGAGAGGGAAAATGGACTGTGCAAGAAATCTTTGGAAGAATTTTGCAGAACTTACTTTATCAAATGCAAAAATTCCTCAGAATTGCGAATAATTAAAAAAGAAATCTGTGTCCTAGGCAATGGCAATCAAACCATGTGACAGACCCATATGCAACTCCAAATCTGTCCTCATAACTGTCTGTGTCTCACAAAAGACTCACACATGTAACTATTGGAAGAGTATCTTATACAATTTGGCATACAAGCTCTATGATTAGCAGCTGAAGAGGGGGAGGAGGTAGAGAGGAAACATAACATATCAACTGACACCCATCAACTATTTAAATTGTTTAAAATATCTGAAATATTGTTTGATAATGCTATGTATAATCCTGAATTTGGAAAAAAATATGAAAGCAATATTTTGATTTATAGGAACAATTTATTTTATTTTCAGTGCTATTTTAAAATACATGCTACTGAACAAGGGAGTCCAGCCAGCTACCAAGTGGCATACTGACAAGATGAGAAACAAATTCAGGAAGATATGATTCAGAGGGGCACAGGTTTGTTTTTAAAGCAAACCATTCATTTTCACCTCTGCAGAGTGAAATCCATGCATTAGTAAAAAACTCCAATGCAGGTAGTTTATACTTCTACAGAAAAAAAATCACATTGGCAGTATTTCTTCCTTTTTTTCCCCTGTTGAGCTGCTGGTTTTCCATGCATCACCCATGTTAATTATTAGGTAGACAGAAGAGCTGTTCAACCAGTTCACTTCCCCTATTCTTGAACAGATTGTTTGAGACATAATATGAATACTAATTAACGATAAAATATCTGTCAGTGTTTTGAAATACAGACCAAGATAGCACTTTCTGAAAGTATCCTGGACAGTTCTGATACAATTAGTCCCACTGGTCATAAGCAAGGTCATAAGAAAATCTCTGAAGAATTTGAGCAAAATTGGCACCACTTTTGGCTCAGATTCAGTGGGAATTTTGCAGAGTTCTTTAAAAATCAATTGAAAAAAACCTCTCTGTTCCTAACATACTTGTTTGTATCTTAAGATGCAATTAATAGAAAAACAGTGGTCCTAACAAGCCACCATGTTATGAAAGGGTGGATGCAAGGGGAAAAGGGTCAATAAATGGCCACAAATTTGCAGCAATGTATTTTAGTGGGACATAATTTAGGATAAGGGAAAGAGGAGTGACGTCCCTCTTCTCTTTCACAGTGACTCGGTCAGAAAAAGCAAGCATAAATAATCAGCAGGGACAAAGCAGCAAACCAATACAAACACCATTTTAGCAGCTTTCAAGATGTTGTCTCTGGAATGTTTGAAGCATTATACAGAAAATTGTTAGCAGAGTAAAAAAGCATTTAAAACAGGGAATTCATCATACTATCCTGTTCACAGCACTGAAATCTTACAAGAGGAGCTGTCACAATGTATGGTGTCAGTCCTTGTGTTGTGAAAGTGTTCTGCAAAACCCTGCTAGAACCTTGCAACAGTTTATCTTTTTGGAGCATTTACGAGTCTAACAGAAGATCTTTCAGGCTATAGATTCACGGTGTACCAAGTCTAGAGAACTTGCATATTCAGTAAACTCAGCATAGAAAAACCCCCACAATAAAAAGGATCTGTATTGATCCTTAAAGGATCTGTATTTATACTGTGGATGTCTCACTGGTAATTTGATTTTCACTGCAGACCATACACATATTTCCAGTGCTAAAATTTCATTAAAGACTTGGTAAACAAAAACAAATAAACAAGTGAAAAACCCAACCCGAAACAAAACAAACTTCATACTGCTGAGATGGTCACTTGTACCAAGCTGTTTCCCATATAGCTCCACAGAAGTAAGCAAGTTATAAAGGGGGTGTCACCTGATTCCACATTTCTTCCCTCTTTAATTTAATTTGTATCACTGCAAGTTAAATGAAAGGTGCGTCCTAATAAGTTAACATAATATGTAGCATCTATTTTGCTCAGTTAGCACAACTGAGTTCGCACAATGAAGGGAGTTCAGTGGACAATCAGAACCTCAGAGGATGCAATTCATGCTCTCCTAGAAAGCCAGTATCTTATTTGAGAATTACTACTTTTCATAGTGTAACTGTGTTGCAGGGATAATATAGAGCTAGATCACAACTAACACAGATGGAAGCCAGCATAGCAATTTTTTTTTTTCTTTTAAAGCTGCTTTCACTTACTAGGAAAGCAGAACGAAAGCATCTATAGTATCATGGAAAGGAAAAGTCAGAATAACACTTGGTGCCACCTTGAACTGTGAATGAAAATGTTATTAACAGTATTGTAAGTTACCAAAAGGACACAACATATTTCCCACAAAATATAAATCAGGAAAAGAAACAATGAGAAAACCAGACTTAACTGAACATAAGGATTATGTTAAGCTGCTAATTAGCAAGAGAACGCTGCTATTATTATTGTCGATAAAGAAACAGAAGTAATAGGACACCTATAGATATGCACTGAGATTTTTCGTTTTTTAATTAACGGCTAAGAGTAACTACGGAAAGTTTATGAAACTTTTCCAGTTCGCATTACTAAAACTTGCTAGTGATTAACTGACATAATATAAAAATGTCAGGGAACTTCTAACAGAGGGATCAAAAGCATTCACCCACAGATATTTAGGTGAATGCTAATAGTTACACCACATGAACAAATTCACGTTTCTTGGAAAGGATGGAGTCAATACGCAATCAGTCAAATCTTTGCTATGAATGCAGTTTGGTGTCTGAGTGACTGCTGCCCTTTAACAGGTCAGGGTGCACAAAAGGTTCAGCGACCCCCTGACCTAACAGTGACACAGCCCACCATTAGGTTCAGTCAGTGTAAAGCAGCAGAACTGACAACACGCTAATAGGCTGCCTCTGGTCAGCCACGGGTACCTCTGACCTTAATGAAGACCTAAATCAATTAATACTTCAGGCAATAAAGACCTCTGGCTGATTAAGTTAGATAGAAATAATCTTTTCTAAAGGGATTAAAGCTGCAAGGTGGTGAACTTTTTATTTAATATATGATAATCCTTTCTTCCTAGGGCCCTCTTATTTTAGATAATGACAGCAAAATTGCTTTTTGCAATGTGAAATCTTTTATTCAACTGCCTAATATGAATAAGGTTTTAAAGGCATCGTTTAGACAACAGTAATTGAAAAGCTTTGAGTTCGCACTATGAACACAAATTGTATCTGACTAACATGGTTCTAATACACCACAATCTTCAATATAATACACATGTTTTTCTTGAACTATTGTGAATTTGTAGCCTAAAAATTCCAGGAATGAATTCATAACACTTAGTTTAGTTTGCTATAGGCTTTCTTTTGAGAAAAAATGTGCAGTTATCAGTACTTAAAGGATGAAGGATATATTCCTAAATGAAAAATAGTAGTAAAAAAAGTTACTTTGACTAAAAAAAAAAAATCGACATTTGTAAAAATCCACACATAGCTTAGTCAAATGTTTGCACATCATACTCAAAACTTCAGAACTTTGCTTTCAATAAAATAATGTTTTTTCCTAGTTAGGTCAAAGAAGTGTAAGCAATAGCATATTATTACTATTTTACTGAAATAGCTGCAACATTTCTACAGTTTTCAGAGATTTATAATTCAATTTTCAAATGCTGTGACTCCATTTTACTAATTGTCATTTTGCGATGGATGTTTCAAAATGTATTTGATCACCTAAGCTATGAGACTACAAAACACTCATCTTTTTGTATTGCTCTTCACTATTACAGTTTGTTTTATCAAAGTATGATTTAATTTTTTCTCTTTGAACTTACATATTTGCAGGTTGAAAATTCACAAAATATTTTTTTTACCAAGAACTGAAATAAAGTACTGCAGTTTCACAGATGCTAAATTAGTTTTTTGTTTGGTTGGTTTTTTATCTATGATTTAGCAAAATTAAGATACATTGTGCCACAAAGTCATATTTGACATGGCACACAGTGTCATAATGCTATCATCACACCTAAAACTTTTGTGCATTTCCTAATTTAAA